TGGCATGTTTGTGTTAACACTATGGCTTTGGGTCCAATATTAAGGAATTTATTTTAAAGAAGCCTTTGGTCGACCATTTCATGATTATTTTGGTTCTCAAATAAAAAAACACTAATTAAGTAAGTGCTACGGCGTTAAGTGTTCAACAGAGGGTTCTGAGCATATATTAAAGAAAATCAAAACACTCTCAAAATGCTAAAAGCGTAAACCCAACATGCTAAATGTGTAACTTACTACTTTATCAGCTTGATAAGTTGTGTTTTTATGTTATTTGATCAAAACTCTCTCTCATGAGATCATTTTTCCTGTACTGTCATTTTACACACATATAATCCAAATAATACTACTCCGTATTTTTTAACACTTAAAAACAATAACTTATCAAAACACTGTTTTGAAACTAAATCACTCTCACATGATTCGAAAAAACATGCTTTGAATTACAAAGATACCAATCTGCAAACACTTTTTATAATCACTTTCCCTAACACTATAAGCCTTCTAACTATGTTTCTGTAGTGTTATAATAAGCATATGAATTGAGCGTAGTAAGTTAGTAGCAAAATATAAGCACAAAAAACTCAAAAAAAAAAAAAGATTGTTCAACAAAACTATAGCAACACGCCAATGTCAGCTCCTTTACAGAGTATTATTTGAACAGCATATTCAATTAAAATTTATCATACAAACTGACACATTACAATTTCAAATTCAACATTGTTATATTATGGTTTCCTTATGCACTAAATCATGCTCTATTGCTCTTACATGCCAATATTTTGTTTTCTTTTCCCATTAAGTTCTATCGACAACCTATTGTCATGTTTTGAATACAAACACATCACTACTCTTGTTTTGGAAATGAACATCCATTCATGTTTTACTGTTTGTACTAACATGGTTTAAAAGATATACAATTAAATACTTTTTTGTAAAATGTGTATCATGATATATTATAATCTTTTAATTTATACCAAATATGTTTGAAAGTTATAGTCAATGTGTCATAATATTAGTAACAAAGCTAGCATTTAACACCCTCCCCTGAACCAAGTACTCTGAAACTCCGCAGCACCCATAAAAAATACATAGACCTATCAGGTCTGGTAGCTACCTCACAGATCTTTCATTATTTTCACAAATGAGCCCTTTTATGATATTTTAGGATAATGATATATCTAGATTGTAGAGAGGGTCAAAGAGGGGTTCACGAAAACTCAAATTTACCCTGAAGTGAATAATATATTGTGAGATGATTCGAAAGTAAATTTGAGATAGTGTCATCAGAACCAAACTATTTGTCCTGATTATGTCAGGATTATCAGCTATCAGAATTCTATTCAATGTTCACTCAAAATCCAACAAACTCGTTCTTCAAAGGGACTAGATAACGCAACCAAATCATATGGAATTCAAACCAGTCACAAAATTTGCAGAACATTCAAACAATACAACCATACGAGAAAAGGGGAAGAAGAAGAAGAACTAGCAAAGAAAATGGTCATTTCCTACGCATATAAATGGATCAAATAAGAGCAGAGAAATGTACTAGTGACGCGATTGAATTACCTCGTCGGCCATAGTTGATGATGCGAAGAGATCAAGGGCAATTTCCTGTATTCCCACTTTCCAGCCGGTACGAAAATGCAGCGGCCCTTCGGCCTATATAGTGATATATAGGGACGGAGTGTTTGCGCTTCAAACTTAAAAAAAGTGATTTTTTAAATTGATTTTGGGAAAAGTGATTAATAGTAAAAGTTGGTAGTGTTTGAGAAAAAGTGATTCTGAAAAAGTAAAAGTTGGTAGTTTTTGGTAAAATAAGTACTTTTTGTGTAATAGAAAAAGTGAAAAGCAGTTTAAAGCACCATTCCACCTGCTTTCAGCTTTTAGCTTTTAAGTGATTAATTTAAGCAGAAGCTATCATTTGAAAACACTCTTTTTAGCTTTTTTTTAAGCCAAAAGCTGAAAAGCACTTTTTTTAAGCAACTGCAAACACTCAATGTGTTTATCAAATTTGTGAGTTTATAAATCAAACCATTTGGAATGTAGGAAAACAAACAAAATAACTTAAAAAAATCGTCAGTTACCTCAGTAATATAACTCGTTCATCGAAAATTGGGCACAACTGAGCCAGTGACGGTAATAACAGTTAGATCATCTCCCACATCCAAAACATAATCCAACGTTTTACAACCAGTGAAATAAAAACAATAAAAAAGATAAAATTACTGCAAAGCAGAACCAGAGCTCCGCTCCCCAGGCCAGTCCCTCTCTGTCCCATTCCATCCTTTGACAAGCTTACCCCTCTAAGCCCACCTCCTCCCCATTTTTTATGTTGTCCAGAGCCATCTCATCCTCATTTTGGTTTTGAGTTGTCCCTATTTCCCAAGTTCGCCTACGTTTTTCTCCCGAGGATTCCTCGTTATGTTTCAGGACCACTTCCTTATTAGAAGCACTTCCCGAGTCCCCTGAGTCTTCTTGCCCTTTCTGTCGAGTCCTCCCTGGGGGTAAACCTTCCTCAATCAACCATTTGTTTTTTCCTGTAGGGCTTGTCTTTACCCCACCCCCTACCCTTAGAGACGCATCAAATCTTCTTTCCAGCATCAGACCTTCCTCATACATGAGTGGACAAAATTTTTCAAAATGCTTCATAACTCCGCAAATAAAACAAAAGTTTGGTAGTTTCTCGTACTGAAAATCTACTCAGTACCCAACTCCCTCTTTTTTCAAGTTCGTACCCTTCTTCAGGGGCCTTTCGACATTAATACATGCTCTAACCCTCATATACGGCTTCCATTGTTCACCATAGTTATTTTTGTCAAAATCAACAAAACTCCCTAGAAAATTTCCCACTTTCCTAGCAATTCCTAGATTCAACATACCATAGGGAACATTATGAACCCTAACCCAGAATTCTGCTTCATTCAGAACAATTTTGTGAGGAATATCCGTTGGTTTTATTTCCTTTACTATCAATAAATTTCTCTCATATTGCCAAGGGCCTCCCTCAATCACACGCTTCAACGGGATGACTAAAATTAAAAATATACCTCTTTTCATCAATCTCCTTGATTTCCACTCCTCTGCCCGGCCTCCAAACTGAAGCAATTGACTCCTTGAAGCCTGATCATATGGACAATTATTATTTCTGAGCAACACAACTATTCTTTGTGTGATGAAATCTGTATGAAAAATCCACAATTTGATCATAGAATGTTGTTGCCTGTGGACACTTACATTGATTTGCACGTCAACATGGACTTGTGCGTCTATCAGGTGTCTATCAATGTACTTTAACACGAAAATTAATATTTGTAAACACATACAGTTGTTTGTGCTTAGAATACCCTTATCTATACAAAATGTCGACCGACAAATGTGCACACAAATGTACACAAATGTTTGTGTACGCGAAATAGCTTTATATTAGAGCTGGGATCCACGTACACCAATAATTCGGCGATTTTCACAATTAAAAATTCTTGTTCGCTTTTAAAAATTTGCAATATTGCCCCTAAAAGCAAAAATTATTACATCACATGTGTGATTGTAGTTTTTTTCTCCTAAACATTACTCCGTACTAATAATAGATAAAATATTGTTTGACAATATAAAAAATGGTTAGTGTCTTAGTGACAGTTTTTACAAATGGATTATAAAATTGTGTTGCACAACTAAGCATTTTTATTCATGTGTTATGATGAAACCGTATCGACGTTTTATGTTCCAAAAATATTGAAGTACAATTTGCTTTGAAATAAGTGTTATCGATCACGAATACAAATGCAATATGCTTTGATGCCCTTTTAAGCTAAATATATTACGTAGTAATAAAATACTTGTCAAAAGTTTGGTATTATGGTAGGGAAACAACTTCTAACCTTTGTAATAATACAAAAATAAATAAAAAACTTTGTAAGTTGTGAATTGTTTTTATATTCGTTTCCCTAGCACAAACATTTTTTACTTAATCAAAGTAATTTCTGGATTGGAATTGTCTTACAACAAGTTAAATCTCACAAGGCCTCTATGCAAAATGCATAAAAAATTCAAATTTGTATCATAAATTGCCAAACTGTTTTACTCATCGATGAATACTGTATTCTCCTAACAATTCACTTCAGAACAACAACATACTAGGACCAGGGATCTGCTTTCTTGGGGCTCTCTTTTGTTGATCCATGCTCGTAGGCCTTTTATGAGGCTGATAGAGTATCCAAGTAGGAATTGAAATATCAAAATTAGTAAAGGAATTGAGAAATTTTCGATGGTAAAATGATATGGTGTTAAACAAGAGCTTCAAGGTCTATTTATAAACGCCATGTCCACTATGTAATTAATTATGACTAACTATAGTCTATAATTGGAACGGCCAGCTTCATCAAGAATCAAGCATCTTGGACTGGTCCTGGGCTTGCCAACTCGTGTCTTGGACCTGGTCAGGCTACTTCTGGGCTTTCAACTGAACAAGTCACCCAGTATCTGTTCTGTCCATTACCCCTATAGCTTTGGTGCTCCAAATTACATCCCCAAAATGTTAGCACACAGTACTTTGAAAATAATAAATAGAGGTTCTTGTTAATCAATGCCCACAAGGGCATTACGGACATACAGTCAATGAAGCAAAAGAGAAAGTTTTAGGGATCCAGAGAATGCTGGTGATTGTGAGCTCTGATGATTGTTATTATTTTTATATAAACTGGTGAGTTATGAGTTTATTTTGATATGAAAGGAAGAGTCAATTCGCTGTCTTTTAATTATGTATCAAATACCTATTACAAAGCTTGTGGTGTTTTTAAACCTATAGTATATGTTCTATACCTACTAGAAAGTTTATTAACGGAAGTTGCTGCAAAGGTGCAAATTCTTTGTACCCATTGCTAGCAGGCCAAGCAAATTGTATAGAGAAGTAAAATTGGTTGGCCAAAGCAAAATACAGTAGAAATAGAAAGAAAATGTTTGATGAAGTATAAAAAGTACAAGTTATCTCTGTACATTCTCTTTCACGCAACCTTCTCATAAAAGTATCTTCATTCCCTCTCATTTAAGTATGGAATAAACACATGTTAAGCGAGTCTAGGCAGGGGTGGGGGGGGAAGAAACTACAAAATCATAATCCGCAAACTGGCATTAGTGGTATATGATTCAAGTCATCATGCTCTGCATACTCCAGAACAAATCAAAAGCAAAATGATAAGAGTTTGAGTGCCTGTTATGGATCACAGAAGCAAACAGGGAGAGAATTCACATGGTACGTCATTACCACCACTAGTTGCTTTTTTTCTCTGTAATTACTGATGGGGATTGGGGAAGACAAAAGAAATCTCCAGCTGAAAGGGAAATGCAATATACAACCTACCATGTGAAGAAGCCTCAAGCCTCTAATAAGGTCTTTGTTGTCCCCAGGCAAAGTTTGCACTTCCAACACCAGGTCCGATAGGAGCAGCTCCATAGGGAATTATCCCTTCTCCCAAGGGATGGTGAATACCCAATTGGGTGGCATGAGGAGGCATTCCATATCCATCCGGGTAAGCCATGTTACTAGGCATAGGATGAGACATTTGGTGCGTATATGGATGAACAAACGAGTTATTAACTGCATGGATAGAAACACTAGTTAGTAGAGAGAGAAAGAGACGGTTGGGATAAATACAAATACCTCAGTCCCAAAAAAGGGGTAATGTTTCACCAAGGTACAACTTTTAAAATTTAATACGATACAAGTTTTTGTCATTTATTGGGTTAGCTACATTTTAAGATACTTGATTTCTTCAGATTTTTTAAAAAATACATTAAATATCATGGAAATTAGCTAATTTTGTTTGAATTGGGGTACTTTCAGGACAGCAAAAATCAGCTTTCAATTTTGGAAGAGGACTCAGAGGGTGTGCTTATAACCTTGAACTTTCCTCTCGGCATTTAACAACTCAGCCTGCAACCTTTCCAATTCACTGGCCTTGCCGACAAGGTCGAGCTCCATAAGCTTCATGTTTTCAACTTGAGTTACATTTAGACCTTTCTCATAGTCAAATGTCTTGCTTTTGATGTACAAAAGAAAAAGGGAAAAGGCATTCAGGTTAGAAAAGACACACATATTTAGATACGTGTAGAAATTCAATGCTCAAGAGCATCTTCAAAAATATGAACCGGAGTGTTGTAACCTATTAAAGATTAAAAATAAAACACACACTCACAAAGAACTCAATCAGAGCATCTAACAGAAATGTCACAAATGTTTAGATACGTGTAGAAATTCAATGCTCAAGAGCATCCTCAAACTCAAAACAGATATGAAGACTATGAACAGAGAAAGACGGGAATCCCAAACCAGAAGTAAGCATTAGAGAATTGCACTCATGTTAAAGCCACATCTACACCCAGGTTCAACACAAGGATGACATTAAGTGGTCAACATGCTTTCTTTTGCTTTTACTTTAAAAATCTGCCAACATGACATCAGTCATCAGGTGGTTAAGTTGTATGGAAACTTAGACCTAAATTTTGTTTATCAAGTATGGTCAGAATGCTAATGGGCTTTTGATGAACTCAACACATGATACAAGATGGAACAATGAAAGTTAAGACATCCACAGCGAAACTTCAGTCAAAAAGATTTCATAATGGCATAACAATAAATACTAAAGTGAAGATTGTGATGCCCAAACTAAAAGGTCCAATAATACCCCCTTTCAGCCTCTATCACTTGTATGAACGGGTCTTAAGCCCTTATTTACAAGGAACAGAAGATGGGAACTGTCTAATTCCCCTCATCTCTTAAAATTCAAATCCAGGATTTGGTTGGTCTCCATGAATTGATCTCGTTAAACCAAACCACACCAATCCAAACGAGTGCTAAGAGCAATCTTAATAGCTTTCTCTTACCTTGAACACATAATATAATAGGTTAGAAAGATTTGCCAAAAAAAACTTCCTCTTACCGCAACTTTAGGTATTCTTTCTGCAATTTATCGAGCTCGGTTTGCATTTGTGGCAAGTTCTTCAACTCAGAACGAGCTTTCTCCAGTTCTTCTGTAGCATGCACTAATTTAGCACTCAACTCTCGATTAGTCGTTGCTATTTTTTGCGCCTCGCTAATGGCTTGTTGAAGATCCTTCCTGAACCTATTAGAAGCTTGAATGTCCCCTTCCTTCTTCGCCATCTTTTCCGATATGATACGAATCTGGATATCACTTTCTGCTCGTATGCTCCTGATATGTTCTTTGAGTCTCTCGATTTCTTCCTGAGCTGCAGCGAGATCATGCCTCAAGGCCACGTGAGTAGATGCCAATTGATGGTTATCTTCAACGAGCTGCTCAATTTCTTCTTTCTGAGAAGCTAATTTTTGCTCCAAAATCTCAGGATGAAGGGGATCCACATGGCGATGTGCAGGAGGCAACAAAACATAAGACCCCATCCCCGCGATTGGGTGAAATTGCGGGTCGACACTCACGGTGGCGTGCGGCGGATCGTAAACAATGTCTCCGGCCGCTCAGAGGAACTCCACACTCTACACGAATGCTGTTCGAATCTCTTGGGAGTCTCCGGGGGAGCTGTAGAGATTCTAGATCTTTCCAATGAGCTTCTCTTTTTTGAGTTTCTCTTTTCTTCTTTTTCTTTTTCCCAAGTCAATACGGAGTAATAATTAGTAGTGTTATTTATTAGATAATATTAGATAATACTATCGTAAATTATTACGATAAAAAAATTAATAAATTATTTTTAAATAACAATTACAAGGGAAGACTCTTCTTTAAAATTAGTAGTGGCTAATAATTAAAGTAGAAAAGATATAATTTCTTTGCTCGTTTTGTAGTTACAACCATCAATTTTTCACGTTTGTCAATGTACAAATTTGATTATTAAAATATTTTATTTCTTATTTAATAAAAAAAATTAAAAATGCTTCATCTGAAAATTAAAATGGAAGGAATTTAATAATATTTTTTGAAAAAATAAATTATACTCCCTCCGTCCCAAAATGATGATCCTGTATTTTATTTTTGGGATGTCCCAAAATGATGATCTTGTTTTCCTTTTTGGTAAAATACTAAAAGTGGATTACCATTTATACCTTTACTTTTTAATGAATAGTAAAAGTAAAAGGATAAACCGTACAATAAAGTAAGGTTCTTTAGTGAAGAAGCGGTCCAGCTCAATTGGTCACCGACTCACTTTCCCTTACGGGAGGTCTCGGGTTCGAAACTCAGTGGAGTGAGTTTCAGTCTAGATTACTCCAGGCTCCCCCCAGCCCCCCAGACGCCCCTGGAATATAAAAAAAGTAAGTAAAATTCTTTAGTCTTTCTACCACACTTTCTTAATCTTTGTGTCCAAAAGAAACAAATTGGGACGGAGGGTGTACTCCATATTACATTAATAAATAGGGAAAACTTTCAAATAGGTCCTCGAACTTTCATAAAAAAGTCAATTAAGTCCTTCTATAGGAGACTCTGTCCGGTCGTCGCGATTTGGGGCGGTTCCCGGTGGAATTTTTTGATGAAATTTTTTGAGCATCTTATTCACCAAGTCTAGTTTACTCATACCAAATTTCAGCTAAAAAGTTAACCGGGAGCGCATTCAAATTAATTCGAGAACTCAAAAATGCGCAGTTATCTTCAAGAATTAATTTGAATGTGTTCCCAATTGAATTTTTAGCTGAAATTTGGTATGAGTAAACTAGACTTGGTTAATAAGATGCTCAAAAAATTTCATCAAAAAATTTCACCGGGAACTGCACCAAATCGCGACGGCTGGGCAGAATCTCCTATAGAAGGATTTAATTGACTTTTTTATGAAAGTTCGATGACCTATTTGACAGTTTTCCCTAATAAATAAAATATTATCCAAGTACATGTTTATCAAACTACGCTGGAATTCCTAAACACTACTCGTGATTTTATGAGGAAGCTAATTCACGCTTTCCTATGTCTTATACTCAGTACAATTTTTCTTGACCTTTTTTCAAGAATTGTGTTTTGATTGTTTTTCAAATAGCAGTCAAAGATTCAAAGCGAAACTATCAAAAGGTAAATATCGAAATTGAAAAAAAAATGAACAATATGAACAATAATTATAGGCCCCATCGAGCATTCGAGCTCAATTGTTCGAACTTCGAATTTGAACAATATGCAATTTTTTGTATAGCCTCGACTCTTTAGGCTTTAGCACCATTTTCTTCAACGAGCTGAAGACTTTTTGTATACCCAATTGTTCGAACTTCGTTTTTGGGTTAGAGATTGCACACTCTAGCCCTGTTATATTATTATTATTATTATTATTATTATTATTATTATTATTATTATTATTATTATTATTATTATTATTATTATTATTATTATTATTATTATTATATGTAAGGTGGTCTGACTGGTATCTATCCAATATCCACTAATCCAAACTTCATTCGTTCAATACTTATGTGTATGTAAGATATGTATTGAGGAAAATGTCAGTTGAGTACGTCAACTTGTATGAAGTGGAGTAAAGAGTACATTATTTTGCATTTGACATCCGTAAGTACACGAACTCGGGTTTTAAGTGTTAATTGAGTATACTCGTTAGATTAACACGCTAATATGACTGAGTTGGCTAACGGAATGCTAAGTAAGAAGAGGTAATCGACCACGGTCATGGCATCGACCTTCAGAAAGTCGACCAAAAAGGGAAAGTTGACCTTCGGAGGTCGACCTGCGGGGGTGCATCGATCAAGCGGAATTCGACCTACGAGGAACTGACGTCAACCAAGGAAAGTCGGCCAATGGGCTAGGGGCTGGCGACGACCTTCAGGTGGTCGGCCTATTAACACTGTTAGCCAACTCAGACATATTAACGTATTAATCTAACGAGTATATTCAGTTAACACTAAAATCCAAGGTTGTGTACTTAAAAATATCAAATGCAATTTGGTGAACTCCTTACTCCACCTCATATAAGTTGATGTACTTAATTGACTCTTTCCTCGATACGTATTTGAAAAGTACGCGTGCTCACATTGTGTTAATTAAAAAGAGCAAAATCCTATTAGTACACACTTTTTGTACACGGTACATCCTTCTAGCTTTGTGTATACATAAACAATTCGTTCAAAAACTGCATTGTAAACAAATAACTGCGAGAGTGTACACGCAATGTGTACAAAGCGGGTGTACACCAAGCAACAAAAAAGATATTCATTTCATTACCTTGAATCCAAGATGCTAATGATATATTCATATATCACGATCACGCGATGTATAATATACACCCTCGCTTAAACTTGAAAAAAAGCATTATCCATGACCTATAGCTTTTAAAATTTCTTAGATCGTAAATTTGCTTATCTTTATTTCTGTTGTGTACAAAATAAAAGTATTGTATCATATTGAAAGAGTATATGGATTCAAACCCTCGGTCTTACAACTATTGAGTTTAAACAGTGGTTTACATACGTTCAGCAAATACTCTGTATTAGTTATATTATTATATGTTTCAAGTATATATTCATTTGTATCTATTAGATATGTAGTCGGACCTAGTTGGCTCATATCATGGGCTCGACCCACATTTTCCTACATATACTCCCTTATGACACATCAATAACGAAATCCGCTATGAGTAACGCTTAAACACTGGAATATGGGAATTTGAACGGAATCATCAATCTCTTCTCCTCCTCAACCAAATTCTCTGGTTCTTTTACCTAATATGATGGGTAGGTTTCCCCTATATGTCGCACGGAAACGTGACAATCAAGAGGAAACAGGAAACGGGAAACACCATCTTTTACAAGAAAAACAACTATTTGGAGAGTTTCCAAAGAGTTTCCGAAACGAAAACGTACTCTTTCCCGAGAATTTCCGTGCTACATAAGTTTCCCAATTTCCCATGTTTTAAGAATTTAAGAAAACACCCATGAATACGAACTATACGAGCTACTGTAACTTTGTAATCGCAAACATGTGATTATGTAAAATATTTGTATGTATAATGCTCAATAGCTGTGAATCTTTTGAACCAAATGAATGGAAAAAACAGGTTGCGTAAATTATATTACATCATCACATGTGTTTGGTCGAACAGAATGTTTGGTAAGACGAAGTCGAAATAAAGATTGTGGAAATTAAAGCATGTAATGTTATTGGAGTCGATCGTATATATGGCCGGCAAAGTATTATGGTGAAAAAAATGTGCTCTTTGTGGCCTCCCCCACTATTCCACTAACATAGTCATAAGTGGTTTCAATTATGCATTAACACGTAACAAATTGAAAAGGGCAATTCATATTGAGCCATCCACAGATAGTGACTTATGCATTAATTTGTGCAAAAATGTTTTTTTTGCACAAATTTGACATATATATTTCTGTAAAAAATCCTTATCAATCTCTTTTATAGTGATGTTTACTCCCAAATTATTCCAACAACAAGTAGTATAATTAAATATATGTAGCCATGTAGGTAGCAATATTTTCACTCATTAATCATCTCCATAGTAATCTTCCATCCCACATATTTCATCCATACCCCCTCAAGTAATGAGATTGTGCTTTTAGACAATATCTGTCCGGCTATATACGATAGTATATATTTGAGAACACGGTTTAAACGAAAAGTTAAATTAAGCTTTGTTTCTGGTCAATATAATTGTGCAAGTGTACATGTGCTATAGTAAATGAGATATTACCCAAAATGGGACTAAAAAAGTTTGGAAATTCCAAAATAAGACTTTCATGTTTTTATTCCCAAAATAGGACTAATTACTGTCATGTTTTGGCAGTACCAGATTTCAAACATGACAGTATTTTCCAAATTTGGCAGTAATTAGTCCTATTTTGGGAATAAAACATGACAGTCCTATTTTGGAATTTTCAAACTTTTTTAGTCCCATTTCGGGATCTTTCCCATAGTAAATTGTGTTTCTACCAAATTCAAGTTACAATATCCGTTACTCATTTATTCGTCGCACAAAGTATAATCTTATACTATCCTCCGTTTTATCACAAGGGAGATTTCAATAAATAGGACCTATTCATACTAAATTTCTAAAACTAAGGCTAAGAATGAGCGTAAGACTAAAACCTACCTACTTTGACTATAATACCCCTAATTTTTAAAGAGATAGCAAATGCCTACTGAAGGTCCGAAACATGCTGCTACAAAACTCATCCCAGATCTGGCCTTGCCCGTGTCGAAGTATGCCTATGAAATTCCTCGAACGCCGCTAGTCTTGTGTCCTTCGGTGCTCGATAGGAATCTCTCGAACGCCGCCGGTCCCGCGTCTTTGTCTCTTGGAGGCGCTACCGGGATTCACCCTTACTTGCCGGCGTACACCTGTCGGCGCTGCCCTGCTCTACCTAGAGAACGAAGCTTTCAAAAATTGCCGCAGATCACACTTCAAAAATTGCACTAGAACCATCAGTTTTGTTGCTCCGGCTGAATTCATCAGACCTCACCACCAGAGGTTTATTCTTCTTCTTCCTCCTCTTCTCTTCTTCTCCTCCTTCTTCTTCTCCTCCTTCTTCTTCTTCTTTTCTGATTTTAGACATTGATTTTGCCAAATTTGAACTTTTATATCATATTTTCACAAGGTATCATCAGGTACTCTGCAAAACTTTTGAAGAAACCATATCCAACCTACTGCAAACACTAGACAATATATAGACAGTAAGTAGTCAGTAAACAGACAATAAGTTCTAATAATAGTTCAATAGCAGACAATACATAGACAGTAAGTAACCATTAAACAGACAATAAGTTCTTATAATATAATAGCTCAATAGCAGAGCAATAACATAAAACAATATATATATATATACAATTCACCGTATCTGATGATGAAATTACATCGAAAGGTTGTCAAAAACTCTGCAATTAAACAACATAGGTAATCTAGCATCCTTTATGGTGCACTAATAAAGCTGGAAGGCTTCTTCTAGTTGGTTTTCGAAGATCTAGAAGCCAGAAGGTGAGATGGGATCACACCCTGATGTGAGTTTTCTCGCACTTAAAATGGTTGTAGAAAAGTGGTGTAAGTACGAGTATCGTCTCCACAGGGACGGACAAAAGGGAATTAAGAATTAACTAAATTCAGCGATTAAAAAGAAAATAAAATAAAAGCGTCGTGCGAGATTGGTTGGTTTGGAAAATAAAACTAATGCGAACAATTAACCTAGGGGGTTCTTTCTAATTAATGACGAAGGGAATAGGGATCGATTCCGGGGTAACCAGATTTCTGGCAGATCAGGCCTAATTACATGAAATTAATTTAATTGAGCCTAGCTAATCATTACTAAGTTCTTACCGCTCTCGCGGCGTAGAGTACAATAATTTAGGGGACCAGGCTGATCTCTCATGCGACAGGATCCTAAATTATTGCCAAGACGAGCGAGCTTACGGCCCCTTAATCGCTACTAATCTCTTAGCGAATGATTAAGTGTGTGTGAATGTGTCCTAGAACAAATTAGATCTCTCTTAATTTATTCTATAAGCAATTGTAATTCTAGTGGCCATCTAGGTTACAAGAGATATCAGTTAAATTATTCAAACACAAATTAAACGGCATTCATGCAATTAAACCGACAAGAATCTATCCATCAATCATGATTAACCCCTTCATCAATCCCAAATCCCTAATTAAAACTACTCACAATTCATAATTGAAGAATCAATAGAATTGGAATAAAAAGAATTAATTGTCATTAACTAAAAAGGTGGAACTTACAAAGAATCCCAAAAGATTGATGAACAAGGCTGAAAAGCCCTCTAAATTTCGTGCTAGGCACTCTCTCTAAGCTCCCCCCTTGAAAACGGGGGTTTACAGGCTGTTTAAATAGAAAAATCGGGTGAAATTTGAGCTGAATTAGGATTTTCGGAGCCAGACACGATGCCAGGCACGATCGTGCCTTCGATCGTGCCTCCGGAGCAAAAACGCGCATTTTGGGCAGGCACGATCGTGCCTCCCTCCAGGCACGATCGTGCCTGGCTGGCAGTAACTCCTCCGTGTTTTTCTCTTCAGGCACGATCGTGTCTGACTTTGAGGGCACGATCGTGCCTACTTAACTTCCGAATTTGACAAAACTTCCTTCATGAACGTTGTAGATATTGAAGTCCTCTATCCACCCCAATTTGCCGAATGTGATTTGAATCATCCAATCAAGAGATATGATCAAAACGGTGGAAGGTGTTCTTCTGAAAACGCAGCAGAGATCATCTGACTTCATCGTCTGTTTTCACCTTCTTCCTCTCAGATTCTCGCAAAGGTTTCTTCATATGATTTGTAGCTCTTGAAGTTGGCTTTCATATGCAACTTGAATCGTGTCCATTGGTTCTTCCTACAAAGAGATATGCTTGAACAATTGACAGAAGGTCATTCTGATCGTCGTTTTCAAGCTTCATTCATCTTCTTTTGATCCCGAAGCCAATCCTAGAGCTCTTTTTTCCTTCAAATCTTCATCGTGAATCTTCCGGTGACCTCCAAAGCTATCAAATCATTCTCAAATGCTTCTCAAATCATCCCGATTGTTCCTCAAGTGCCGGTACCGGGCTCAAATTCCCTGATTTTGACTACAAACAACACAAAACTCGAACCAATGCCCGATAAACATAACTTGAGCTAAAATTGAGACTTGCAACACCTTAAAGCTAGGGAAAACCATCAAAACCGATCCCAACACGCATCAAATACGTGTCAAAATACGGACTTATCACACCCTGGTGCCGATGCTCGGTTCAGGTTCATTGAGCAATGTTTTAGTATCGGTGAATGTGGCCGCGTGTGTTGTCGATTACAGAGAAGAAGAATGAACAACGAAGAAGGAAATGAGTTTGGTAGTTGAGTTCGATTATATTGAAATGGAACTTATTTGAGTTTAATAAAATCCTTAAACTGAGGGTAAAAAGGTAAAGTTAAAATCAAATTTTCTTAAACAGAACCAAATAAAGCCCACGGCTGGAAAGAAAACAAAGAAGTCCTAATTTTGAAAAGGAGCTATGATTTGATCCTACGAACTGCAAATTTGTCTTATCACAACATGTAAATTTTACATTATTCATATGTTCTACATTGACTACATTTTACACTATTATTTTGTGAGAATTATTTTTTAAAAAAATAGTGTTCAATTCATCTCATTACAAATTTTCAAAATCTGATTTTTAATTTTTTTTACTAATAGAGATTAAGATATAATTATGGTCAAAGACGTGCATTGACAAGTGTGAAATGTTGACCATTGCAACTACAAAAGAACGGAGGAAGTATACGAAGTACACTAGATAGTATTGTATAAACTGATAAAAGGGATAAATTAAATATATACGTATATTGGGTTATTTATGTATTCATAGTAAAGATAAATTAATTTCTGTGATACGGTCAGACTTTGACTTTTATACGCATCACCGTGAATTGAAATTTTATAATCTAGCCTGTTATTTTAAATCATCTAATCTAGTTTGATCGATAAAGGTATGGTACATATGTTGGCTTGTACTTTTAAGATGTTTTTACTTGAATTGTTTTCAATTTCAGATTAGATCAAATCATATCAAATCAAATCAGCCCCGACTACATCAGACCAGAACAGATCACACCAATCTTGGACAGTTATAAAATACACAAAGATCATACCAAACAAGATCATGTCATGCCTGACCAGATCAGGGCAGACCGGGAAATGTCAATAAAAAACATTATGTTTTTTTTTTTGAAGAAAGAACCTCAACTAGCACTATAAATAGTCGTTATTTAGACGCGGAAATTGCAAAACGCTATCACCTTGCGTAAGTAGGATTTGGTGTATATATGGAGCACTTAAAAGGTTCCGCTCTTGTTGCTTTACTTGTTTTTTCTACTTTTCTTATGGTGTCCCAAAGTCGAAATATCAATATTGATAACTCCCACGGAGAAGTCAAGCCTCAGGGCTTAGGGTTGGACTTGGGTAACGGCATAGGTATTGGTCTTGGCACTGGCATTGGTATAGGGCTGGGCGGATCTGGGTCCGGTGCAGGTTCGGGCTCGGGCTCGGGCGGCTCATCATCAAGTTCGAGCTCAAGTTCAAGTTCGAGCTCTACTAGCTCCGGTGGAGGAGGCAATGCAGGATCCGAAGCCGGATCCTATGCGGGATCAGGTGCTCGTTCAAATAACGGCAGAAGCAACGGAGGGAGCGGATATGGTGGCGGCTATGGAGGAGGTTACGGTGGCGGTGGCGGGCACTAAGTGGTACCCGGTCGGCCCATGGTAGCTAGTCACTACAAGGAAATATTAAAGTGGGAATAAATGAAAACTTTAAACTAGATACTATATATCTATAAAATATTTGGGTTTAAAAATATGATGCAGTACGTTCTTATGTCACATACTCAGCTCATATGTAGGTATGCTTTCTTTTCTATATTGATCGATACTTTTAAGTTGATCGAGTTTGTAATATTATTCTATGTACCATCTATTTGAATGTATTGGTAAAATACGATAGTACATGTTTTACAAATTACCATAAACCAGACGAATTTAGAAAGTAATTTGTGTTAGCTAAAGAACGATTGGACAAATCGATTTAAATTGAAAGAAATATATTGAAGCAAGGTAAAGAAAAATGATTCATTTAAATTTTTTTAAAGCAAAATTGGCTAAATATAATCATATCCAGTTAGCTTGATTATTGTAGCCTATGATCTATGATGGAGGCCCAAGCAACCTAATTTTCTAAAATTTTAAAATGTCCAAACTCATTTCTCGGATGTCATCATACGTAATAATGATCCTACTAAACAATCGGCTCTTGTGCGGAGGGTCGAAACGATCGATGTAACACCCCTCCTAACAATTCTTTAACAACCAACTCTTATCGGGGACAGTAGCTCACCTGGTAAGAAGGAACGAAGTGTTACACGGGAGAGATAAGAAGGAAGTGTCACAAGAGAGAGGTCTTGAGTTCAACTCCAAGTAATGTCTTGGGATAGAGCCTCACTCTCTTTCCATTAGAGTGGGATCAAAACTCAATTTACATCCTTTCAACTAGTTGTTTGGTCGGTGTTGAGGGGACATCTGGGATGCGGTGTCATGCTTTTTTTAAGGACCAACTCTTCAATGACTTCAAACCCTAGGCAAAGAATAAAAGAAACACAAATAAAAACTCTATACTTAACACATCCCAAGAGCCCGTTTGATTATGGTGAAGTTGACTGAATCAGTTAATCTACTGAAGTTTATAAAAAAAATCTTTAGTGACGCTGAAAATGAAATATTTTATTAATGAAATAAAAAAAACTAATGAAAATGACATGTATATTAGTAACAGATCGAGTTTCCCAAGAAAAATATAATTAGTCATGTTTTTTGAGCAAAAATGTAATTAGTCATTGTGCACTAATGACTAGACAAAAGTCACTATAGTGTATTAATGGGAAAAGACAAATAAATTTTGTATTTTAACTTTAGTCAATTTAGCCCGAAAAATAATATTAACTTTTGTTCATTTTGTTTATAACGCAATTCATCACGTAAAGTCAAAAGTTGCATGTTTAGTGAAAAAAATAACTAATAAGTCAGGAAACCTAGGTCACAATTCCAAATTTAAAATAGTGATAAGTAATGCTCCGCACTCAAGAATGACTAAAACATAAATCTCAACATTTGATAGAAAAATAAAGTAGAATTAGTTTTAAAACTTTCAAAAATGATGAGAGTAGAACCAGGTGATGAATATAATTTCAACCTCAAAGCTAATACAAACCGTGGGTGATTTGTGATGCACATGGTATAGCTCTAGTCAATTAATGGTTTTTCAGCATAAGGTTAGAAGCAATTTTCTTCAGTTTAATGAGTTCTTCAATGCACCTATATGTATACTCTGCAGGACCTTTTACATTGGCCACATATGAATAACCAGCCATGCAGTCATCCAAATTGAATAGCAAGTTATCCAAAACACGGCAAAGGAACTCGTTGGTTTGGATTTTTTCATCCAACAAATTGTGAAATATCTTTTGGTTCTCCCGGATGAATACCCGGGTAACGACATAGGTGTTGTTCCTTTCGACATACCAACCAACAGCAACGCGAAAAACCACCAGGAAAATAAACAAAACAAATAACATACCGCAGGGATCAGAAACGAAAACCATTCATTATAGTGTATCATTAGTGCTCGGTACACTAAAATTACGGGATCGGTACGAATTTGGCATATCCCTGTCAAAAATCTCTGTCAATCCCGTGTTTTTCTGGCACTGGTTGTTCCCTTTGTCAGCCAAATCAAAGGACCTCATCAAGGCTGCTCGGTTTTATTGGCAGCCGCAATCACGAGAGGGGATTTTAGCTGCGAAGATAGTTGATGCCTAGGGCTAGACTTTGCCACAAGCTTGTGATAAAACAGCTTCTTTGGAGAAGGACAATCCATGCCATGGTGCAGGGGCAGAGGCGGCAGGAACAGCGGTGCTGGGTTTAGTTTGAGGAGCATCTTTTTTTCTTCCACGACGTCTTTCACGGAAATTGGTTTAGGATTTGTTTGAAAACAATTAATTTAAGTGTTTTTGGTTTTTTTTTTAAAGAAAAAAGCATTTATTTTACCAAACAATACCAACTTTTACTATCTCGGTTTTCGTGTAGAATCTACTTTTTACTTTTTCTATTACACAAAAAGCACTTATTTTACCAAACACTACCAACTTTTAGTACTAATCACTTTTTCCCAAAAAGTGCTTTTATTTAAGCACAATCACTTGCAAACAGAGCCTTAACTAACCCTTAAATCAACCCTAGATAAAATAAACTAGGGAACATATACAAGTCCCACGAAACATAGAGGCCGTTTGGAACTATTGGTTTTCGGCCTTATCAACCAACTTTTTCACCAAACACGTGATTTTTGCTTTTGCGCGCTGAATTGTGTGATAAGCAGAAAAAGTAAGGTTGGAGTTACTTTTCTGGCTGTTTTGGCTGAAGTTATTGTAGATGATCATTTTAGCTATTTTTACATATAATTTTTTCTTTATTTTATTAATAAAATATATTTTAAAAATATTTTTTTCTTAAATCAGCAGAATCAGCCAATGTAGCCACTTCGGCCAGAATTTCTTAAATTTCAGCAGAATCAGTCAAATCAGTCGATTTTCATGCTACCAAACGGGCTCATAAACTAGCTTAGTAGGAAACATAATAAAGAGTCCTAATTAAATAAAGCATATATAATAGGAAACTATAGAACTGGATCCAATTAAAAGTAATAAAACCAGTTGTGGACTCAGGATGTTTTTACTTGGACTATAATTTGCTGGTCTGGTCTGATCTGGTCTGGTTTCTTTGTATTTTTATAACTACCCAAGTCTGGTCTGGCCTGGTTTGGTCTGGGAAAAATTACAGTCCAAGTAAAAACATCTTGAGGCCCTTACCCGCCTACGGTAGACCAACAGGGGCTTGGGTCTCAGACCCCTCTTCCGCCCCGGCTCCCAGCTCCCCTTGCTCTATATCACAAGTTGCGTCAACAACGTCGCCGGCGAGGACGATCCCGGCTCACCTTAGTATGGTTTAATAAATTATAGGAAAATTTGAAAATAATAATCTCAACTATTACCGGTCTGTCGTCATTTATAATTTAATCACAACTATCGATTATTCCTGGGTGGTTCCAACTATACGGACCATTTTTAAAAAATGGTCCCTAACCAGTTACAACCTGGTATACATTATAAAAAATGGTATGTCATTAAGCGTTAACCATTATTTAAAGCTTACACATAGTTCACATTAAAAAATGACCTGCTATACCAATTTGTAATGGGTTAGAGACCATTTTTGGAAAATGGTCCCTATGGTTGGGACCACCCAGAAATAATCGATAATTGGAATTATTAGAAAAATCCTAGAGGTACACAAAATGTGTACACATGTTTGTCCCATGTGTGAGATATGGGATAACATATAATTGAGTTAGAGAGTATATGATAGTTTGTAATGATTGCCAATATATAATTGTCGCAACCAAATGTTGTGAACATAAATCTGTATAATTATTCTTATATAAGCATAAGCATGACACAATTTAAAATTAGATAATGCATCCCGTGCAACGCACGGGTGAAAATCTAGTTGCCTTTAAAGTTAAAAAGTAAAAATTGTGGGGGAGACCAGTATGCTTCGAAGTCTTTGTTATATTTGGGATGAAATTTGACTGGCCTTTGAATATATGGGGTGACATTCATGTAATTTCCATGTTTATGTTTATGTTTTTAATTAGTTTTGATTGATTGTTGCTTTGGAAACTACACACTTTTGGTGTAATAGCTTAGTTTGTAAAATATTTGTAATTTGTTTAGATTAAGTTTATCCTGAGATCATATAGGTCCATGATCACTCAGGGGACCATTGGTGAACCCCAAAAGTGGAAGGAAGGTGCAAAAATGCAAGACAAAAAGTGAAGATCTCTTTTTTGGGCTGTACTCGGTCGGGTATATGCTATACCCGATCCCTCGGGTACCTACTTTTTTTGCAAATCGGATCACACCGGAAGACATAAGAACATGCAGGGAAGATTTTGACCATGTTCGAGTGTCCATACCCGATCGGGTAACTGACATACCCAGTCGGGTATGCCCCAGTTTTCCAGCTTCCGGGAAGCTACTGAAGATACCCGATCGAGTACTCTATATACTCGATCGGGTACACATCTCTGAATGCCCCAAACACCTATAAATACACCTCATTTTCTTCCCATTAAATTCACCAATTCCTATATACTTCTAAGCTCAGTTTAGACAAGTTCTTTCTTTATATTTTTATCATGTTTAGTCTCCAAATGAGGAGCTAAACTCTTCCATCTTGGTTTTGCTACTTTGAAGCTTAATGAATTGTAAGTTGTGAGTTACTTTCTTTAATCTTCTTCCTTGAATATTAATTAATCTATCTCTATATTAATGTTGGGGAGTGTTGCTAAGATGACAATTAGTTAACATCTCAACATTAGTTATAATAACATTTATTTTCTTTAATCTTCTTCCTTGAATATTAATTAATTCATATTCATATTTCATATTAATATTTTGAACATTACTTAGAGGATCATCTAGTTTTGTTTCATCTATTAATTATTACTAGAATCGATCGAATAATACGCTTGTTAATCGTTCGGTCCTTTCACGGTAGTAAACTTAGATTATTAATGCATGCGTCTCATGGTTAATAATCTAATGGGAATTACTTATATTGATTAAACCAATAAACCGCTTATGTTGAGGTTATCAATCTCAATCATTTTCATTTTAAGTTTATTGCTACTATCGGGTTAATATACGACGGGTGTTCTATATTGAGTCGGTAGTAAGTTTTATTAATGAACGCGTCTCGTTATTAATAACTATCCTCGATGAATTGGATATACTCCTCGATTGAGTATTCGAGAGGAAGATAGTTAAAGATATAACCGGAATCGACGAACATTTCATTAAGTGGATAAAAGCAAAACCAAGTTTTCATCTCTATTAATTAAACCACATAAGTCGTTCATCTTAGTGTTAATTTAATTAAATCAAATCAAACTTAAAACCCCCCTTGTTACTAATTAATTAAAAAGAGAAGTATTTCTTCCCATGTGGATACGATTCTTACTACGCTAATACTACGTATAAGTGTTGTATTGAATTATTATTTTGACGCACATCACGACAAAGTTCTCGTCAATGGGGAATAAATATTCTTCTCCGGATGTGATTGGCGATAACAGATTACTCATTGCACCAATTTTTAGGTGATTCGCTGATTCATATTTGTGTTCTTCGCGATATATATAATGAATGCAAACTGTGTTCATCCAGCATTGGTTTTACTTCTTATTAGCATTGGTTTTACTTCTTATTTGTACAATTTTTTTTTATGTTGATTGTAGAGTCTATACTCTGTGGAGTGTAAAACAATTGTATTTTTGTCTTTATGTTTGTGTTGGTTTAGAATTTTTGAAACACCTTTCTTGATACAGATTTTTTTGCTGGGTGACTTGCTTCGGGTTTCATAATCATTGCCTCCTCTCTCAAGATTGCTCTCGACTCTCTCTACATTTCTGTGAAACCTAGTTTTGTCTTCGTCCTCAGGTAACTTGTGGGTTTCCCTTCTCCTTTTCTCCCTCTTTCTTTATGATCCATTCTTTGTTCGGCTCCATATCTGAGGGCTCGTCTTCGAGTACAAGGAGTTCGGAAGATCCCGATCAGCAGACCGAGGAAACGGTCTTTGGGGGTGTCCTTGATGCTGTTGTCTGGGATACGGCCGACGTGTCTCATTCTGGCGCCGAAAACGGCTGCGATTACGAGGCCAGTCTAGTGATGACATGGTCATTGTTAAGGCGGATCTCCCGGACGGGAGTCCTCGTCATAAGCTTAAACTTAAAGTCGTGCGACTGCGGAGTCAATGTCTGACGCCCAAGATCATCGCACAGCTTCCTGATATGATCCCGGTACTACAAAAAAAAGTACACATAGACTGCACATGGACCACAATTTTTTTTGCGATGGCAGCATAACCGTCGTTAAAAACACCATTAACCACACATATTTTTATTTACCGCGCACAAAAATGTGGTAAAAGCTTAGAGACGACAGTTTTTAACCGTGACCAATGTTTTTACCACAGCTGTTGTGCCGACGCACGTAAAACTGTCGCAAAACTGTCGTAAAAACATCAGTTTGAACATTTACGACAGTTTTGCGTCAGTTTTACGTGCGTTGCCACAACAGCCTTGGTAAAGACATTGGCCACGGTTAAAAACTGTTGTCTCTGACCTTTTAACAAAGTTTTGTACGTGGTAAATAAAAAAACGCGTGGTTAATAGTGTTTTTAACAACGGTTATGCGGCCATCGCAAAAAAAATTGGTCTATATGCGGTCTATGTGCACTTTTCTTGTAGTGCAGATCTCGTTAAGTACCGTCTTCGTGCCGGTCTTCATCCCCTGCACCATCGTTCGCGAATGGTGGTGGTGCACTTCGATTCTGTTCGCGCTGGGCTTCAATTTCCCTTTCATCCGTTCTTCGTAGCCCTTTTGAATCAGTGTGAGGTCGTATCAGGGCAAATCATGCCCAATTCTTACCGGGTCACCGCGGTATTCATCGCCCAATGCGTGGATGCCAAAGTGGAGCCCAATCTGGACTTGTTGCATTATTTTTTCATGGTGGCCCCTAACAGGCAGAGCGTTATCTAGCTGTTAGTGCCCGAACAGGGAGGTCCCTCTTTACTTCCAACGTGACCTCCATCAAGGGTTGGAAGGACTGATTCAACAGTTATTAAATACACATACACTAGACATTTATCAAACTAAACTTGTACAGACCAGTTCGATCAGATTAGATTAGAAAAGTTCACTTCAATTAAAAACTTCATAAAGCATATATCAAATTTCAAAATGGAAGTATTTACTTTTGTATTTCTAATAGGCCTTTTATTCAATTTTTACCCTTGTTCCCTTTTTGTGTTAAAGCATATGTAGCTAATAACG